CTCCAATGTGGGGCACGGGAGCGTGGGGGCACTTGGGAGCGGGCGCGGGGTCGCTGGGGTCGTCGGGGAGTGCAGGGAGCAGGCGCGTGCGAGGGCTCCAGCGTGAGGAGAGCGACGGTCGCGTGCTCCCCGAGCGCGTGACCTCGCGGATTAGAGTTTGTGATTCCACATCGGTTGTTAGGATGAGGAGAAGAAACCTGCATCTTTGGTGGCTCGAAGGAGAGGAAACGGCTTGTCAATCCCAGAACAGGGAGAGCGATTGTGGCGTCGTGGGTCTTTTGGAAATGGAACCAACGTTTTATGGGCAAAATGGACCTGAATGTCGGAATTAACTGCAAAATGCCTAAATTTACCGGCGAGATGTCTCACTCTCTTCCAAAAAAACCTCATGCAGTAATTATAGCATACAACAGGAGCAAAAACAAAATTACACTATACCCTGATCTATCTACTTTATTGTACCAATATCCATGGGCAGATTAGGGATTCCCCTTTTCCCTCTAGACATGTGGTACCCACGACCAGTGTCTCTAGCAAATATTCTTGGATACGGCACGAGTGCCTCTGGTCATCTTCGCTGACACTGCAAAGTTACCTTTGAGATTACTTGGCTCCTTCCCACTTCATCGTTGGTACTCAATTCCTCTACGAGTCAAAAAAAAAAAAATCCAACTCGTGTGTACCTTTGATCCTTCGCACTTCAGCTTCGGTACTCCATGCCAAATTGCCTTTCAACAGTTCTTGAGCCGCCAAATTAAATCCCCATCACATCTCTTTTCTACGACTAAACCAAGAGATTATCGTTAACCAGGCAACATGAAAAGAGTGCCGAGAGCACACAACCCCTGGTCCCCACCGCGCACAACACCTGAGCTGTTTTTTTTTTTTTTTTTGAAACTGGGCTTACTCATTACCCATCGGCTAATAAATCGTTAGCAACAATTACAGAGATGCCATCAGGGGTCTGTTTTTTTTTCACCACACAAACCAGCCCTGTCCGTTTTTTAACCTTCCCATCAATAAAGATCATGATTGATTCCTTCCTACCGTGGCTTCCGGTTTTCACGCCACGGTCGATTCTATGTCGCCAAAATCCCCTCCATCGTCTTGCACCGGAAAAGAGGAAGAGGAGCCGCCACCGCCATCTCCAATCCCACGCTACCCAAATTGGATCTGCTCCAAGCGACCACGCCGCGATACACCTGAGGCGCCCGCACCTGCTATAGGAGACGCATGTGAGCGCTTTTCATGTGGACACTCTCATGCAACCAGCGGCCACAACATTATAGGAGACGCTTGTGAGCGCTTTTCATGTAGACACTCGCATGCAACCAGCGGCCACAACAAAAGCTACTAGAGTATCTCCAAAAGTATCTCTAAATCTCACACTCTAAATTATTATTTGGAGAGTTAATTACATAAAAATCGATTTATAAATCTTTTCATTTTCCAACAGTTTTTCTATATCTCGTGAGCAGTCTAGAGAGTCATTATCGTCTTCTATTTTTTGCTAGCGAAAATTCTAAAATAGAAGATAGCTATATTTGGATATATAACCATTTAGATAAGCTGTTGTAGGATAGTTTTTCACCAAAATCTATATTCCTAGTATTTAGAAAGGAAACAGAGAGTCTCTTAGAGATGCTCTTAGAGCATGGCTAATAATTGAGCTACAACTTAATTTGGTGTAAACTATATCAACATTGAGGTCATTTGAAAAACGACGTCCGTCCGGACACAGCTTTGTCGTGCACTGCACTTCACCTTCGGTACTCCATCCAAATCCCCTTAAACAATCACGTCCGACAAATTAAATCCCCATCACATCTCTTTTCTACTAAACCAAGAGATTATCGTTAACCAGGCACCATGCGTCTCGATCCCATCTCGGCTACGCCTCGGCGTCAACCCGCCACACTCCTCACATTGCCGCTCATTACCCATCCCCATAAATCGCCCCATCATCCGAGATGCCATCACGCTCTATCTCGGCCACACCCAGCCCTGTCCATCCTAACATCTCATCTCCTCTCATGATCATCATCCTTCCAACCGTGGCTTCCGGCAACATATCGAGGAAGAGGATACTCTTGAAACATACATGTATAGTCATTATAACATCTAGATAAACACACATGAAACAAACATCTAAAACAACCGAAACATTTGGAGCATTGAGAAGAGGGGAGGGCCGTGTGATGCTCTCAGCCCAGCGCCACAGGAGGAGGAGACACCACAGCAGGCATGCAACCAGCGGCCAAGGCAAGGAGGGGGATGCAACACCTGATCTACTTTTAAAACATACAGATAAAACATTTGCAACATACATCTGTAGATAGATGAAACACTTAAAACATGTGTCTGAAACACTTGGAGATGAACCTGAAACACTTGAAAAGTTATTGCAGATAGTTTTTCACCAAAATCTCTATTCCTAGTATTTAGAAAGGAAATAGAGAGTCTCTTAGAGATGCTCTTAGAGCATGGCTAATAATTGAGCTACAACTTAATTTGGTGTAAACTATATCAACATTGAGGTCATTTGAAAAACGGCGTCCGTCCGGGACACCGCTCTGCGTCTGCACCCGCGTCGCATCGGACGTGCCCACGCTCGCATCAGATCCCGCGAGCGAATCACGTCCGACCACCCGCGTGACCCATTCTGCATCCGGGCACCCGCGTCTCGATCCCATCTCGGCTACGCCTCGGCGTCAACCCGTCGCGCTCCTCACATCGCCGCGACGCCATCCCCATCGTGCCCCCATCATCCGCCGCGCTCTGTCTCGGCCGCACCCCTTCCCCCATCCCAACGTCTCATCTCCTCTGCATCATCCGTCCAACCGTTGCAACATATGCAGTATACTCTTGAAACATACATGTATAGTCATTATAACATCCAGATGAACACACATGAAACAAACGTCTAAAACAGCTGAAACATTTAGAGCATTGAGAAGAGGGGGAGGGGGCGGCAGATGCCTAGCCGGCGCCGAGAGGAGGAGACACACGCGGCGAGGCGGCTGAAGGCAAAGAGGGGGATGCAACACCTGATCTACTTTTGAAACATACAGATAAAACATTTTAAACATACATCTGTAGACAGATGAAACACTTGAAACATGTGTCTGAAACACTTGGAGACGAACCTGAAACACTTGAAAAGTTATTGCAAAGCATATACAACATCTAGATAAAAACCTTGCAACATATGTGTGAAACATATGCAACATCCAATTAAACACATTTGCAACATTCGTAATAGCAGCTTTACATGCCTTTGACTATTTGTGCCACAAGCTCTAGTCGTCAGTGAGCTGTGGTCATGCAATACCCATTCCTCATCTTTTGCTTCTATTGCAGTGAATTTAGAAAAAAAAATCAGTGCGGACCATCTCAACCAGAACGTCGTGCGGACTGTGGAGCTGATACGTGGGGGCACAATACCATGTTACACATGATAAATTAGATGCCTCATAGGCCACGCGTCAGCCATACATCATCATGGTGTTTCCATGCGGATGGTCCTCACACATTTTTTTCCAATTTGGGAAACTATGTGGAGATTTATGTCAGATTTAGTCTTGAGATATAACACTGTTTAATTTGGAACAATTTAAGCATAAATCTTATCAAATTTAAATGTAGATTATGTATGTGCCATATTTTTTTTCTATAGATCTAGACGTTTCGCTGCAGCCAAAAGTGATTGTCGGGCTTCCACACCTCTGTGCATCAACAAGCATTTGCGAGCTTTGCTAAGAAATCGTGTCCAATGTCAGGCGCTCGAGAGCCTTACTAATAATATGTTAGCTTAACCAATAAATTGATAATCTGGCCACATGCTTGCGTTTGTCATAACGGCGCTCCACACGATTTCAGAGTGCTGCAGCTGCTGGGCTGGTTGCTGGGGCTGTGGATTGACTGCTGCAGTGCAGTGCAGACACCCTCTGTGCAGCCGCAATTAGCATAGCCGATCAGGCTGAAACGCGCGTGAAGGGTGCAAGTAGTCTGCACTCTGCAGCACTGGAGGGGCCTGCCGGCGGCCACGGTCATCTGCCGTAGACATAGGCCTTGTTTAGTTGGAGAAATTTAGATTTTGGACTAATGTAAATGTTCGTTTTTTTGGCGTTGACGAAATCGCGGCAATTAGCAATCAAAACGCTTTGTTGACTTTCCCATAAACCGTGCAATTAGTTTTTCTTTTCGCTACATTTAATTTTCTCATAACAAATCAACCAACATTCGATATGATAGGTCTGGAACTATTTTGGAAGTTGAAGTGGAACTAAACAAAGCGATACTTATGGTGCCTATATGGACTAATCAAAATTATTATCTTCTGATTGGTGGGGCCGTTCGCCGGAGCGGCGCTTTATATGCGGTGTACCACCAACCGTCATCAGGGCCATCCCTTTCAAGTAAATCGATCACATTACTAGTGTACCTTGATCTTTCGTTGCTTGCGAATACAGGGATTCTGCTTGGATTGGATGGTGACAGTGGATCTTCTGGGTGGGGCCGTTCGCCGGAGCGGCGCTTGCGGCGGTGTACCACCAGGTCGTCATCAGGGCCATCCCTTCAAGTCCAGCGATCACTACTAGTGTACCTTGAACCTTGTTGCTTGCCGGCATACACGGATTCTGCTGCCACATCGTGCCGATCTTGCATCCTCGTAATGTGTCATCAGTGTACAAATCAACTGTATGGCCGTGTCCCAATTGTAATAATGCTAATAAGTCCATAATATATCAAGGCCCATTTACTATGGACATTCGCCACCAGTTGTGAACTTCTGAGTTGAATTCAGAACGGAGGCCACCCCCAGCCCCACGGTTCAGCGACTCACGGGTTCCCTCCATTTCGGTGAACCAAAAGTCCAAAACCCACCGGAACACAGCTACTCCGTCCAGGTAGCCCGCACGAATGGCAAAGCAGGAGTCCGGGCGAACTGGAACCGTGGAGGTGAAGTTCATCCATGGTTTCCGAAGCCCGTCTTCCTCATGGACATCCTCGCCTCACCGTCCGCCTCCGCCGGCCGCCTCTTCAACACCGGAGGCCCGCCGCCCCGCTTCTCCGACGACGGCGTCAAGGATTCCACCGGCGAGGACGCCGCCTCCGACCGCCGCCCTGAGCGGGACCCCTCCATCCCCAAGCTCTTCACCGGAGGTACCGCGCGCTCCTCGCGTTGGCCGTTTTATTTCCCTTCCCCTTATTTCCTCGAACCTGGCTAGCGAAGCGAATTAGGGAGAGCCACTGATGATTTGGGGTTTTCTGCCTGCAGACGTGCTGGACCTGTTCCCCGAGGCTGCGAGGCGGGACCTGCTGCTGGCGTTGGCGGAGGACGGCGGCGCGGCGTCCATGATCACCGGCTTCTCCCCGCGCGGGTGGTGGGTCTCCAAGGAGGATGCCAGGATGGCGACGCAGTGCAGCTGAAGGTGGCGATGCCGGGGCTGGGGAAGGAGCACGTGAAGATGCGGGCGGAGAAGAACGTCCTGGTGGTCAAGGGGGAGGGCGACAAGGCCGACTCCGAGGGCGACGACGACAAGGTCCCGACACGGTACATCTACCGCATCGGGCTCCCCTCCCAGGCTTTCAAGATGGACCAGATCAACGCGGAGATGAAGAACGGCGTGCTCATGGTGACCGTGCCCAAGATCAAGGACGAGGAGCGCAAGGACGTGTTCGAGATCAAGATCGAGTAGGGGGTGGGCATCGGATGGGTCCTCCCAGGTCTCCTGGTTGCAGTCCATATCGTAGTTGCAATGAGCTAGTCGTACTAGTAGTAGTTTTCATTACTGGAGTAGTAGTCGTTTCTGATGCAGAGCAGCCGTGGCTGCGAACGGGCCGGGAGGGCTTTTTGGTGGTGGTGCCGTCTCGTGCCTGATGTGAGGCAGCCAAGTTTACCTTTCTGTTCGTCTTGCAAAGTTTAGTTTCCTGTATGGCGATGATCACTGATGATCTCATGATGAACTTCAAATGCTAATGGCATCTGCAGTTAATGATCGACATCTATATGACCTTCCTGTGATCGTGTTCTTGTGTCGTACTATCTTTTTAATGAAGTTGCGTTTATTGTTGGATAGATCTGAACTGATGATCTTTGTGAGACGTCATTTGCTCTAAAGCAACCCCGGTCTGCAGTTTCTTGGATGGGTGATGACTGATAATCTCGTTTCTAAACCTGAGTACTAGTAGTGAAATACTAGTTGTTGTTCTTTTTTTGATGAAGTGATGATCGGGATGTATTTCTGGTGTCTGTTCTTGTACTCTTGTCGACTGTTGCATTTCCACATGCTCTATGAAGTTGTGTTTATTTTGGTTACATCTGAAGGGGCTGCAATTCAACTAAATTTTCTATTGTACTGTATGTGTTTTAAGATGGTCGATGGGTTTTCTATTGTATGAAAAGAGCATATAGTAGTGCACTGTGCTGAAATTTTCTCCTGAGTTGTAAATGGCAGCCATCTTAAAATATGAAATGAGATTATCAGTCCGCTATAGTAGTGCACTGTGCTGAAATAATATATGAAACATTTTGTTTGCAGGGTTATCTGGACTTCAACTAAAAAGGTTATTCTTTATGAAATGATGTCTCTGAAGGGAAACAAGAAAGGTTATTCTTTAGGAAATGATGTCTCTGAAGGGAAACGAGAGAAGCTTTTCCTGGCAGTACATCCAAAAGTTGACAGTATTATGGTTCTCACCATAATAGCTGAACAAAATATGTACTTTCTATCCATGATGGATGCATAACAGTTGATGTTCCCAAAACAATCATGGTTTATTCATCGTTATTTTTTGCAACCTGGCCTACTATGTTGTACCTTGACCATCTTTTGTTATTTTTAAACCTGGCACTGTTGCTTACCATCTTTTGTTGGCGAAATTATGAATAATGTGTATGAATGTAATGCGCAAAGCCCCTTCAGCACTCTTAGTCATTAATAGATCAGTTACATGTAACCACTACCATAGTTACTCCACTTCTTAGTTTATATGACCGCTAGTTCAGTTCCTACCAAAGATATTTGAGGCTTTTACATGTATGCCATTAAGAAAGTTTGTAATTACACAAAAGCCATTAAAAAATGTGACCGCACACAGGTGCCACTGCTCTAAACTTCTTTGCCTTACAAGCCATTCCGTCCTTGTTCTGTTTGTTTTTCGCTATTTGGTGTGGGACCGGCCAGTGAAATTGTCCATGTTGCCCTTATGCACAAAAACACTCCCTCTCCTTCCTCCGCCCACAAATACTGTGCTAGAATTACATTTTTTAGGGACGAAAGTAGTACTAGTTAAACTTTAATTAAGTCTATAAAAATTAATAAGATTTAACTATTCAAATAAATCTGTTATTAAAATATATTCAATGACTTTTGTAATGATATTAATTATATATCATAAATATTAATATTAATACATCATTTAGTTAAAGTTAAAATATTTAACTTTTATGGAGTTGAGAATGACACTGTCTAAGAGAGAAAGAGAGTACCAATCTTCTCTGCCCATGCGAGGCTAAAGCGTCTCGCTCACCGGCTAGTATCCAGTAGTACTACTCTAGTAGAGTGGTAGACGACAAAAGTCGTACCTCAAGCTGGTCTACTTCGAAGCACAAATTATGCGTGCCTATATTTTTTTTTTACATTTAATAGTGCAAGTGCTGGAAGTGCACGTACTACGCGTCACTAACATCTGAAGCGCCGGCATGCAGCTAATAATCTACCACAGTATACAAAACGCATGGTCTTTTTTTATACTATTAACTCGCAAGGGGTTATATTAACGAGTTCATGAGCGCATGTGATGATGTGATTAAAGTCCAACATATATATGCTCAAATATTAGACGTAGTAGCATGCATGCACGTACCTAATTATAATTAATTAATCCTCACATTTGGTCTATGCCACCCGCATGCATCAAAGTGCATCCACGCATGCAACCCGCCGCTCGCTCTCGGAGGACACGGCAGATGCCTCTGCCTGCCTGACACAAGCACGCAGACGCAGCAGCAAGGATACGCAAAAAAGCAGAAACACAACAAACTCCGCCTGGCGCTCACATCGCTCGTCTAGCCTGCAGGTGCGCGGGGTAGTAGCACCACGCCACGCCGGCTAGCCAGCCAGAAAAATAAAATCCTGGAGTGGAGAGGCTAGTGGGCAGTGGTCATCCAAAACCCCAATCGATGTCTCGTCAGGGACTGGCTCGTTCCCCAAAACCCCCAGTGGCAGGCCCAAGATTTTGAACTTGGGTATTCAAAATTGTGAAGACGAATCAATTTTTTTTTTTACAATGTAAAATCCAATGATGGATCGAGAATTTTGTAGGTATGCAATAGTAAAATTTTCATACGTAAGTCGGTAAAGGCCTTGTTTAGTTGGCCAAATTTTGGAAATTGGGCTACTGTAGTACTTTCGTTTTTATTTGGCAATTAGTGTTCAATCATGGACTAATTAGGCTCAAAACGTTCGTCTCGCAATTTCCAACCAAACTGTGCAATCAATTTTTTTCGTCTACATTTAATGTTTCCATGCACGTATCGCAAGATTCGATATGATGATTACTGTAGCACTTTTTGGGAAAAGTTTTTGGAACTAAACAAGGCCAAAATCAATTTTGCAACTCACTAAGCAATAGTAAAATTTGATGTGAAATTTGGTATTTTAAATCAAGTACAAACAAACCCAAGTTTGTGTTGTATATGTACCAAAAAAATTTAGCGTGAATTTTGTTGTCGTCGCCTCGTGCCAACGTGCCTTGCCACTGCCCGAGTCCGTTGCTCTGCCACCGCCATCGGTAGGCGCTAGGGTTTGGGGTTGGGGAAGAAAACAGGAGAGAAAAGGAGCGCTGAGAGCGAGCACGAGCAGGTGATGTGCCAATGTCTCTGATTTGTGGAGTTGCGATGCGCCTGTGTGCTGCCGGCAGGGGAGATGTTGGGCCACATGCTGCTGGTCCTATTTGGGCCATCGAGTGGGGTGGAAAAGCAGTAGTAGAATATAGGTTTTTGGCTGAATTCTTGACATGATATTTATTTTGGATTTATTTTCCTTTTTCCTACACCTACCTATAGAGAGAGAGAGACACACACACTATATATATATATACATGTAGACCCGCCCTTGAAAACCCAGAAGTCTTCTCGTAGCCCCTGCTAGGCGAGTAGAGAGCAGTCGATCAGGGCACCCGCAACAGTAAGAGTCAGTTGCTAACTCTATGCCAACCTCTCCAATAGTGCTAGCTTTTAGCAATGACTCATAGTATAATTAGGCTCATATGACACTCTCACATGTTTTTAGAATATGTGTATGAGCCTAGCTCTTGATCAAGAGCTAGTTTTTTCTCTCTTCTATTGAAATATGAAAAAGATGCTTAGAGCTAGCTTATGAGTCACCCATTGCTAGTGCCCTCAGTGCGCTCCTGCTGCAGCGCCTGCCGCCTAGACCGCTGGAGATCTAGGGGGTGATTGGTTGCTCTGGAGTTGGTGATCCGGGATGGGGGAACTGTGCAGGTTGTTCCCAGCCATGATGGAAGCATGCAAGTGGTTGTGTTTGGTTGCCACTTTGTACAGGATACTGGATGACCAGCATCTTGTTTGGTTCCCCGCTTGCATCGTTTTGGTGCATGAACTGGTGATTCCAGTTCTTCTTTGGTTGGCCGCATGGCACCTAGTCCGATTACCCACGAATGAGATTGGTGACCTTACCTATGTTTGTAGCACAACTAGAAAAAGTACATTGCAGCCTCAGATAAAATTGCCTAGTCATTGCACTCGACCTTGGAGCATCAGCGAAAATAAAAATGACACAACAGTTCAAGCCCCTAGGTGTTTATCCCAAAGTTCTGCAGTACCTCACAAGGTCGAGAACATCAGCCAAATACATGGCAATTGGGAGTCATCACAGGCATTTCTTCCCACTGAAAACGATGAAGAAGAGGAGCAACACCAACACAAAAGACTGAACAATACAAAGAACAAATAACCAAGATGTTTTGTTAACGACCGGTGCAGGAGCCTTCACATGAACTTTTCCATCTTCACAACCCTTGAACTCCATGTATGATGCTACTGCCTCTTCTTCGATAGGGAAGCTCTTATAGCAGCAATTTTTAAAACCAATTACCTGGGCATTGCATCTAGCCCAGGTTGCATACACCCTAGGCTCCCTGCCGCAGTACACAACATACCAAGCCATTCCCCCTTTGAAACAACAAAGACAAATGAGTATAAGATGGTTTTCAAATGAAACAACATACCAACAATCAAATCAAAGTTCCAGTACCCACAATCTTTCTTACAACTAGAAACAACAATAAATCACTACTATTGACATCACAGGGTAAAGATATTGAGGCCTCATCTTATTGCAATGTTTCTTTAATGGACAAACACTCAATCATAGGTGGCTGTGATTAGAACCAACAACAGGATCATAGCCTTGCAACAAAAGACAATGACAGCCATGAAGCCTTGTGATACCCATTCCTAGCCATCAGCTCAAGGCTACTCAAGTGTTGCTTGGGAATGGATGTGTCACATGGGCTCAATGACAGTCATCAAAAACATCAACTAGACACAGCAACAACAGTACAACCACCTCATAGTTGTGTAATCAGATTGCATCATTGGCCAAATAAAACTAGCAAATGGATTTCATAGCTCAGATGGTGGCCAAATAAACCAGAAAAGATGATAGCACAT